ACGGCGGCGCGCGCTTTCCTATCTATTTATTTTTATTTATTTATTTATCTTAAATTTATTTTCCTTTTTAAAAATTATTTTTATTTATTTATTTACATTGTGCGGGGGCTGTACCCAGCCCTTGCACTTGGTGCCGTCCGTGCAGGCTGATGCAGTGTGGGGCATGGGCAACTCGGGTGCCCCATCACTGCGTGGGCCCCTGTGGGGCAGCCTCCCACCTGCTCAGTGTCTCCCCAAGCTGGGGCAGTTGGTGGTGCAGCGGGGGGCACTTCGCACTTCCCGCTCTAGGAAGGCGCCCCGTGGGGCTTTCGCCTTGGTTTGTGAGCTCCCTGGGCTGCCAAAGGCATGAGAGGATCGCGTTTCCCTGCTCCCCTCTCCTGTTGGGGCTGCACGAGGCCTGGCCAGCAGGAGGGAGTGGGAACTGGGAAGGTTGGGGACCAATATCTGCCCTCCTGTGGGAAGAGGTATAGGATCACAGGTGCTCTGGAGCACCCAGAAACCTCCCTGCATGGGGGTTTCCTCCTCCTCCACTGCCTGTCCGTCCTGTCTGGCTTCCCGCTCTCCTACCCCAGTGGCATGGCGTAGAGGCCAGCTGCCCCGGATGACCGCAGCAGCGCAGGGCTGAGCAGTGGGGTCCTGCTTGCATGTGGGAGCCACTTTCTCCCCCTGGCCCGTGTCTGGTTGCTGGAGGCTGCTGTGGGCGGATGCAGAAAGTGAGGGGCTGTCGTTTTGCTCAGGCCAAAGTGAGGTGCTGTCATTTGGCTCATGTCCATTTGCTGGAGGCTGCTGCGGGCGGATGCAGAAAGTGAGGGGCTGTCATTTTGCTCAGGCCCAGGGATGTTTTGGGAGAGGGGGAAGGACAGACCTTCCTGCCACCAGAGCCGGGGTGCTGGGATGGCTCTGGTGCATGTGGCCCCAGGGCTTGCAGCTCCTCTGCTTCTCCTGGCTGCAGCCCAACCTGGTGTTTTTCCTCCCACCCCTCCAGAAAATTGAACCAGAAGTGGACAAGTTCCTGCGGGAGCTCCGCGAGCGCGTGAAGATTGGCGTGGTGGGAGGCTCTGACTACTCCAAGATAGCCGAGCAGCTGGGCGAGGGTGATGAAGGTGAGAGGCTAGTGGCACTGGGGAGGATGTTGGGCAGATGCCAGGGAGGGCAGGAGCTGATGCACATTTTGGAGCCTCTGGGACTTCCCTGCCCCCCGGCACAGGGTCTGCTGTATGCAGAGGGATCGCGTACATCGAAACCCAACAAGTTTCCTCTAAGTCGGTCTTTGTGGCCTCTGCCCTTTGGCCGCTGTCAGGGCCCAAGGAGCCACCGTTCAAAGGCTAAATAATGTCTGCTGAGAGCAGGCTGGGTCTGTGGGGGCGGGCATGCTGCCAACCCCCTCTTCAGCTCTTGCGTTGGGCCGGAACCAGGGCCGTAGCAGCCGTGAGAGCTGCTGGACCGGCCCCAGGCGGCCCTGAGCAGCGATGGGCAGAGGAGCCTGTCTCCCGCCTGGGCAGGGTGGATGGGGCTGGGAGATAGAGGAGGGACTAGGGGAGCAAGGCAGGCGGCCTGTCTCGCTCTGCCTTGTTTTCCTCTCCAATATCAGCATAAACAACACAGCTGGGTACTAAGGTCTGTCTTCTGCCCCATTAGTGGAGAGAGGCTACACCGTGAAGTAATTCATCACTCAGGGGAGCATGAGATTAATTGCTGAGCTGGCAATGGTCTGTTTACTGCCCCCAAGAGAGGCCGGGGTTAGATAACCAGTAACTACATCCAGGGAATATCCTGGCAATGGGGAAGGGAGGGAGCAGGACATGCGTGCGGTGGAAAGCCTGGCATTTTGGGAGCTCTTATCTCAGTTCTGCCACTGATACAGTCCCTGAACCTTGGTCAGGTCACTTCCCACCTCGTGCCTCAGCATCCCGCCTGGGAGCTGGGGATAACATCCCTCCTTGTGGGGCAGGGAGCAGTGCAGGACGGCACGTGCTTGCTGAGCATGGGGGGATGAGAAGTGCAGTGCTAAGGTTTGTGGAGAAAGGCTCCCTGGGTCCTAAATACAGGCAGTGTTTCTTTCCATGTGGCCCCTTTTCCTCTGCAAAGGATAAAGCAGGATTAATTTTTTTTCCCTCCCTCTGTTTCCTCCCCTCCAGTCATCAATAAATTTGACTACGTCTTTGCTGAGAATGGTACCGTGCAATACAAGAACGGGCAGCTGGTCTCCAAGCAGGTAGGCCCAGAGGCTCCTGCAGACACCGCTCTCCTTCTCTGTGTCCGCGCATCCCGGGAGCACCGTGGGGAGCAGTCTCTGGTCCCGCTCAGAAAGGCAACCCCATCTGTTCTCCCCAGCAGCCGGGTTGGACCGTCTCCCTCCTCCTGTTCACGTGCCTGGGGTCAAGCAAGGCCTGGGGCCTAGCAAGGTCTGGGGCCTGCGCTCCCACAGCTGTTGGCTGTGATGGGGCTCATGTGTTTTATGGCACCACCTCGTCTGTGCCATACAGCTTCTCCTGTAGGCAGAAGAGCCAGAAACAAGAACTGTTCCTGCTGTCTCATGCTCCCCTCGCTGCATACCATCCACATTGGGTAGAAAAACCTAGTCCAAAAAGGCTTTGTCGTGTTCCTGGGCGGATTCTCTTCCTGACAAGTTAGCAGGAACCCGGGTTTCGTGTGTCCTCCTCTTCCTCACTCCCCCTTCTCACCCTTAGGCCATTCAGGACCACCTGGGAGAAGAACTGCTGCAGGATCTCATCAACTTCTGTCTCAACTACATAGCGCTGCTGAAGCTGCCCAAGAAACGGTAAAGATTCAGTTCCGCGCAAACGGGAATTGTGCCGCTGATTCCTAGGGACCTCGGGCCTCCAGAGCCCTCTTGAGAACAGCTGGACTACGGAGCTCGTCTTTGTTCCAGGTCAGGCAGGTTTTATCTTAGTATCTAGAGGCCCCATGTAGGATCACTGCCCCACTGAGCTGAGCAGTGTGGGCAAACCGTGTAGGACAGTCTCTGCTCTGGAGGCTTTGCACTGTTTGCCAGCATAATGCCTGCTCTTTGCGCCCGCAGCTTTTCTTCCCTTGGAAAGAGGGTACAGCTGCTGCCTGCGTCTGTTTTAAGACAATGGTAACAGTTTGTCCCTGGTGAGAGCATCAAGCGCACGCGGTCATGTGAGGCTCCAGACAGAGCGAGGGAGGGAGGGCTGAAGTCCTCGGCAGGGAAGTTCAGAGGTTGGACACATGGTTTCCTGTTCCATCTAACTCGGTGTCGCTTCACGGTGCTGGTAAAGAGGCTGGCCCTGCTGTGCTCCCAACCGTGTGCCCCCAATCACTTCCCCTGCATCAGATCCGGCATAACAGGGCCTGACCTGAGGCAAAAACAGAAAGAAAAGGATAGTGTCCATTGGATCATCTTGCCCTATTATCACACCATTGCTAGATCCACCAGAAACAAGGGAGTGGGGACAGATGGCATGGACATGAAAGAGCAGGATGGTTGTCTCCAGATGCATCCTAGTCAAACTAGTCTGGGTGTAATGTCAAACCACCCCTCAGACTGCAGTTTCCTATATGCTTGAAGCCATTCACAGCATTTGAATAATCACACATAAAACATGAGCCAGTGCTGCCACTGAAAAGAGCCGTTCTGCCCTCCCCTTGGCCCAGCCATTTGTGCCCGCTCTCTCCTGTGTGTGGGCCCCACTGTTTGTACAGTGAACCTGCACAGGGGAGCAATTGGCTTGAAATTGGGACTTAAATGAAAATTGCTAAACCGTGATCCAAATCAGTGTTCAGACCTGAGTCACCATGTGGCAACACAAGCCCTTGCGAGAGGGGCTGGGATGGCTGGCTCCTGTCAGCAGGAGCACTGGCTAAACATGCCCCCAAAACTGTGGGTTGGGGCCCATCACCTCAAGGCTGTTTGATTGCCTCATTGCTCTCCGGTTGCTCAACACCTAACAAGGCTTCAGCTCCTAAGCGCCTCTGTGGGTTTAGGCTTTGGGAATTTTTAGCAAAGCAAGGGCTTGAACCAACGTCTCCCAAGTCCTGGCCTGGCGCATGAGCCTTCAGACCCCTGGCGCTGCTGAGGTGCTGCCCAGCAGGCTGTGGATGTGACTGCCTCTGTCTCCTTCAGTGTGCTCTAAGTCAGGATGTGAGTTTATCTAGGCTAGGTTCAGTGCTCCATCACTGAGCAGCAGCAGGCAGGGCTGGAAGAGATGTCAGAAGGTTACTGAGCATAGGACTGCTCCGCTGGAAAGGGATCTTCCTTCTCAGCTAGGTTTCTACAAAAGCTCTGAATCTATTTTCCAATTGACTGTGCTGTCCTCCCTTCATGTTAGCAACAGCAGTGCTGGTACTGGGCTGAACCCTCTGAAAGTTATTCCAGGGTACAAAGTTGACAAAACTGGCCTGATTTCTCACAGGGAGATGAGAAGGGAGTACTTTTCTCCCTTCTCTGAGGGCTACTCAGCCCAGAGAGGGACAGGCAGAGTAGCAGCGTTAGTGCAGGGTGAGGGTGGCAAGCGGGATATTGTCCTGTCTATGCAAGCTTGGATAAGAACCATAGTCAAAGGTGTTGGGAGGGGAAATGGAGAGAGGCACAAAGATCCTGGAAGAGGTGCTGATTGCTCATTAGCCAGCACATTGCATCAGGAGTGCGTTCCACCAACCTGCTCCATCCTACTGCCTCAGGGTACTGCAAACTCCACCCAATTCATCTACTACAGATTAAATTTCTGAAAAGCCTCCAGGGTGGAGATGCCACAGTCTCAACAGGTAGTTGGTGCAGTCTGGATCATAACTGTCCTTGCAGTTATTATAACAATAGAAAGTGTTTCCTAGCATGTCGCCTCAGTCCATTGCCTCCAGTTAGTCCCCAAGGTTCATAAAAAAGGCTTATTTCTCTTCTTTCAGTCTCCTTTCATAAAACTGTGAGCCTCTGGGAGATCTTAAGTCGAGCTGTTGAAGTCTGGCCTTGGTCTGCTGCCGCAGGCCTGTTGGGCATCTTCAAGGCTCTTGTATACCTGAAGCACAAGCAACTATGGGGGACACAACTTCTTTCCTGCTGCACGTTCCTGCAGACACTGAGCAGTCATTCCCTTGGAAAGTTGTTTTTCTCTGCCTGTCCGTGCTGTAAAAGCCCCCATAACCTTGTGCCCTTGCCTGTATACAGAGGGAACTTCATTGAGTTTCGCAACGGGATGCTGAACATCTCCCCCATCGGTCGGAGCTGCACCCCAGAGGAGCGAATCGAGTTCTCCGAGTTGGACAAGGTGTGCGGGCCTGTCTTGGGCTCACCCTCCCCCTCTCTGCTGCTCTTGCACCATCACAGCTC